GGAAACGTCTACAAGCACTTCAACCCAGCTGATCCCACTCCAAACGCCATCTTTATGGGTGAGTTCAGCAATACTTATTTATCAATAATGATTATTAATGAGCCAGTATTTTTTGTTTGGTTTGGTTTGGGGTTTCTGTTCCATTTGAATATTATACGGGTGTTTCATGCATGGAAAAGCTGCTTTCTCCACTGAAATGCTGCTTATGAACTACTAGAAATGTGTAAACTTTATAAAATAGTGAATCTGTTTTTGTCACCCCTGAAACACAAATATAATAAACTTGTGTCACAAGAATCATCAGTTTATTCAGTGAACAGAGGCAGAGAGGAGTTCAGTTAATTTAATGTCCAGCCTTGGCCGACCTAACCACTAGCTGCCCTGCTTGTTTTCTCTCTGCAGTTGTGCTGTTGGTCGTGGCGTGCATCCTTTTCGTGTCCAGATTCTTCACGGTGCTCTGGAGGAACAAGTGGCGCCCCCTCCACTCCCCGGGCTCAGCACGGTTGATGGTGTCACCCCTCGACGGCAGAACGTTCAGGGTCCTTTCTTAAACGAAACTCGTGCCTCCCCAGACCCACTGAGTTACATGTTCACACCACCTCCACAGTCATGTTTGAAGGTAGATCTAAATGTTAAACAGAGTTTATCTGTCAGCATGGGGAACAAATGTATTTCTTCAGTAGAAGAAAGAGTCTGCACGGGAAGGCAGGAAACCCACAAATCTTTTCTATCTGTTCTTCAGCTGTACTGAAGAAAATAGAAAATAGAAATACCGTCTTTAAAATACTTTAAATTCTTTTAAAAACTACTACAACTATTTAATACACTGCTTAATTTTATCTTAATGTACTTTATTCATGTATTTCAGTGTTCCCCACTCACACACTTTAGTTTGCAGGTTTATTAGTGGTTCCCACAGTATATTTGGCAGCTCATTTTTGATTTCTCTTTTGTTTTAGTTTTTTTATCCATCTGAGACAAGTTCACACTCCATGACTTCATGATCTCTGTGCTCTTATTTTGAAAGTTCGATCACTGCTAAATAGGGATGGGTATGGTATTGCACCGGTTCTGACATAAACGGTAGTAACCAGACCGAAAAGCAGCGCACATTTTGGTGCTTTTTTTTTTTTCCTGAGATGTCATACATCTGTTTGTCCTGACAGATTCTGGTCCTGAAATCAGGACGAGAAACTCTAACTCCAGCTTCTTGGACTGCAGATAGTTGATGTTAGCTGGGTATCATGAACCTTTTTTTTTTTTTTTTAAATTTAAAATAAATAAATAAGATTGCTTAGGCTGCTGCCCCCGCGACCCGACCCCGGACAAAGCGGATGACGATGGATGGATGGATGGAAGATTGTAGTCATACCAGAATGCCAAAACACCCGGCCATACTAAATGTGTGTGGGGAAAAACTTCATTGCATTAGATTCATGTTTTATATTCTAAGACTGTTTGTTATTGCACTTGTATTTGCTTTTGTACATGTATATCAATGCTGTGGCACTAAACCTCACTGTACAGTATGATGACG